CTAACTATCGATAACTCTCATTGAACACTATAGCAGAAACTTTCCCACCATGCCGCCTTACATCCTCAATCCCTCTCATCCTCTCTAATCACCACAGCCCTTCACCATTTCTCAAATTCTCACGATCACAATTCTCGCCAATGGTTGGAGTTGCATAGGAAAAATAAAAGGCCTAGTTTGGAATGATATATTTTTTAGTCAAAACAATTATTATAAGTTGTTATGTCATTTTTTTAATTTTTTTTACACATGTTTTTGTAAAAAAATTAACTAAAATAATTAATTCCTAAACGAGGTCTTATCTCTCCGTGTTTGCAATTTAAAAGATATTCTTATTAAATTGTAATTAATTTTTACACTTCTCATTAATTTTTTAATTTTTCTTTCACCATAGGAGAATAATTAATGAGTTATAACAGCTATGAAATAGAAATATGAAAATGAAAAATAATAAATATATAAATATTTTATTATTTTAATCTTACTATATTTAACCAATTCAACTATATACATGCTTTATGTAAGTTTTAAATTAATGGAGGTATGGATAAATTGACCAAGATAAAGATATGTAGTCATAAAAAAAAATTATATTATAAAACATATCTTATTAATAAATGAAAGAAGTGGGGACGGATCGAATAAGCAAGTCTCATCTCGTCAGAATAGGAAAAGCCCATGCAAATTGTCATCTCTAAGGCAGATCGACAATATCTAATAGTACAATAAAGAATATTTACACCTGTAAAAAAATAAAAAAAATAAAAAAATAAGGATAAATTATACGACACATCCTGAGATTTGATTTAATTACATCTCACACTCTAAAGTTTTGAAAATTATATTTTTATCCATATGGTTAATAGTCTCATTTCACAAATCCCCTTACTTACATAAAAGGCAACAAGTTTTAGTAAAAAATAAAAGAAATTATATTTAAAAAAAAAGTAAAGAAACAGGGAAAAAAAGAAAAAAAAAGAAGTAAAAGAAGAAGTAAATAAAGCAAAGTAGAAAAAAAAAAGATATAAGTTTAATATTTTCATTCTGTTTAAATAATATAATAATAGATGGATTAATGTAATTTCTAAAGCATCAATAATAATATGTATTAAATTCAACAACAATGATTCATCCCACTAAAAACATCACCACTAATAGCACTAATGCATTAAAAAAGTAAAAAAAAAAAAAAACTTGGTCGCTCGAGCGTACAACTCCAAGACCAAAACATCACATCATTAATGACGGGACCCACTGCCACCTAATTAGTGGGAGCACTAATTAGTGCTCCCAAGCATTTTTCTAAATTCAAATTTTATGAGCTTAAGAGTAATTTACCAAAAAATTTAAAAACTATCTACACATTCTATTATAATAAAACAACAGTCCAATGTGGTTTTACTGGGCGATACCTACTAGGGGTGAGCATGGTCCGGATTGGACCGGATTGGAGTGAAACCAGAACCAATCCGTTATTTACGGATCCTGAAAAATTGGAACCAATCCAATCCATTTAAATCGTGGAACCAATCCGAACCAATCCATTTAAATACGGATTGGATCGGTTTAGGACCACGGATTTATATAATTAAATAACAAAAATATATATATAACACTTTATTTTCATAAAAATATAAATATAGCACCATATTAGTTTCATTAAATAACAAAAATATAAATATATATATAACACTTTATTTTCATAAAAATATAAATATAGCATCATATTAGTTTCACAATAGCAATATGTCTTTTCATAATAGCGACAAACTGTTCTAGAATTTAAACAATCATAAAGAAACTAGTTCTACCATAAGTATTTAGACCTTTATAAATTAACACTAAAAACTAGCAAACAAAAGTAATAAAAGAAGATACTATGCAAGTTTAGGTTTGGATTTAAGTTTTATATGAAATAAGAGAAGATACTATGCATGAGGGTGTATAATAAAAATATAGACTATTTGTATACGGTCCGGATCGGTTCCAATCCGGAACCGTGGGATTCAATCCGGAACCAATCCGTGAACTACGGATTTTTAATTTTTCAATCCGGAACCGAACCACGGATTCAAAAAACCAATCCAAACCTACTGGATTGGACTGGACTGGATCGAATTACGGATTTCGCGGATTCCTTGCTCAGCCCTAATACCTACCAGTCTTGTCTGGTGAATGATTTTGATTTATTGCATTTTGGAATATATTTTGTGCTTCATTGGGTTGAGTAGTTGGCTAAAGAAGCTTAGCTTTCACTTCATTCAATGTTATGCTTTTCTCTACTGTGTGTGTGTGTGTGAGAGAGAGAGAGAGAGAGAGAGAGAGAGAGAGAGAGAGAGTGAGTGGTGGTATCTTATTCTTTAGGTGTAAAATTGAAGATGCTTTGCTACTACTTCTTGCAGAGTGGAAGACCAAGAATGTTGTGCTATCAATGTCAATTTAGGTGCCTTTGTGTTTGTGTATTAATTAATTTATTATTTTTTTTGTTGAGTTGGGTGTGATGAGCCAAGTCCCCTAAAACGTTGGTTGTACAGCCAAACGATTAAACATATGTTTTGGGACAATTATAACATAAACCACAAGGTGTCAACCTTACTACAAATTAAACCCTCTATTTTCATTAAACCATATGATTTTGTAAATTTGATGCCAATTCTAAGCACAGTCTATTTTCATTAACTTAGGGAAGGGATAATTTTGGTTAAGGCACAGTTTTCTTCTAGTCTAATATTGGACTTAAGTGGCAGTGGTGTATTTTTATAATTCGAATCGTTCATCATCCAATACTTCTTAAGTAGATTATCTAGGTAAAAAATAAGGTTAATTATAAATCGATCGTCATATAATGAAATCACAGTCAAGAAAAAAATGAAGAATCAATTTGATTTCAAGAATAAACCATTTATTTTTTTTGCTTCAGATAAATGTGATTCAATTATATGATTACCGATATCCACTTAATCTTATATTTAACATAGATGATTGACTTGATGAGTACTATAAGACGAATGATTTAAATAATCAACATCACTAAGCCTTGGTTTGCCAATCCAGTCTTGGGCTAATTTAGTCACATCCTTCCAAAATAGGCTAAATTAGCCACAAGAGACAAAAAAACATTCACATGGTTGGGGAACAACTCAACGCCTGTGCAAATTACCAAATTACCTCCATTGCCAATCTGTTTGTCTCACACTAGCACCAATTCAAACCACACACTCTCTCACCTAGGGCATGGTTAGACGCTGAAAGAATGAGGCAAAAACCACAGACACTCAACGGCGAAGAAGAATAGCAAAGTTGTCCACAGCCCAAGTCTACCGAAGTGGACATCGCAAGCGACACTGCATCCATCCCATCCTCGCCACCACTGATCATCAGGTACTTTAATTTTTTTTTTGGTTTTGGATATATGTCGTGTCCTTCAACCCGATTTGCTGGGTGCACTACAACAAAATTGGGTTTTTACAGCATCACATCAACGACATGCAGTAAATGCAAGCCATGGTTTCTCACTTTTACGACTTGCTTTTTTTGCATGTCGTAAATAATTTCTCAGTCACGACGTGTCTATTGTGTAAGTCGTGAATGCTAATAACGATGATTTTTTTACGGCTTACAATGTTAGCTGTAAATAATAAAACTTTGTATGACGTGCATATGGCATGCCGTTAATACATCGACTATACACGACACGCGTATACCAACTGTTAAAAATATTAAACATTTCATGGCGCACAAAAAGCTAGCCGTTAAAAATTTCACTTTTCACGACGCGCAAAATGTTAGCCATGTAAAATATTACATTTTTCATGACACGCAATTATTGTCGTGAAAGATACGATTGGGAAAAAAAAAGCCAAAATAAAAATAAATCCAGCGCCAAAAACCAAAACTTTCAAACAGTCCTAAAAGCTTAAATCCCTAAGGCTCAGTTTGTTTTCAGATGTAGAATGAAAGAGATTTATAGTGAGGGAATTAATAGTGAGAGGATTGTTAGTGAGGGGATTGATAGTGAGGGGATTAAGTAAAATTGTATTTGTTTTGATGATAGTTGTTAGTTTAAGAATTGTTAAATTATTTTTATATAAAATAATAAAAAAAATAAAAAAATATATAAAAAATTAAACATTAATGTTTTTTTTAAAAAATCCTAATATGTAAAAAATAAAAAAAAATTTAATCCCCTCACTATTTTTCTAATACCACCTTCATCTCCTCCATCTCAATCCCCCTTCTAACCTCTATCTTAATCCCTTCTTCCATCCTAATCCCTTCCCCAACTCTACAAACAAACACAATACTAAGCTTGTGTTTGGGAAGCGTGGTTGAGGCTAAATTAGCCAGATGACGACAAACTAGGCTTATTTAGCCACTACACGACAAAGGCTCTCCAATGGGTGGGAGAGGAACCGTTGTTCGGGTAAAATTACGAAAACACCCTCAAATAAATCAGAGATTCATTTCGCCCAACTGATGAATGAATCCAAACGCACAATACAACCAAAAACCTAACAGACGAAGCGAAGGAGGCGATTAGTGGCTACCAGCGGCGACGACATCTGAGCCAAGCAAAACCAAATTTTTTTTCCCAAAAAAAACCCAAATTTTTAAAAAAAAAAAAAAAAAAACCAAAAAAAAAAAAACCGAAAATATGCCAAATCCAAACTCAAATAAAAAAATCAAAAAAAATGAAAAAGGGCAATTTCGTCATTTAACAACATGACACCTCACCAAAAAGCTAAAAAAGCCAAAAAAAACCTTCCCAAATCAAATTTTTTAGCCCCAAATTAAAATAACCAAAAAAATAAAAAAACTAAAAAATCAACCCACTTTTCAAACGAAGGCTAAATAACCTCACCTTCATCCTAACCCCCTTCCATCCATTACACCTCAAAACAAACGGGGCTTAAATTCATTCTCATGCCCAACCCAGCCCTAGTCTCTCTCTCTCTCTCTCTCTCTCTCTCAGCGGCGACAACGCCGACGTGTGCAGTACCCATCTGGCGACAACACTAGCATAGGCAGTATCCCCTCCTCCGTCTGCGTCTAGGTAACCCTCATTCTCTCCTGTCATCTCATTCTCTCCTTTCGCTCTCGCTGACCCTCACAATCTCTCTCGTAGACCAGCGTCAGCAAATTTCCCCACCCTCTCACTCTCTCTATCAACGGCGGCGACTCCCCATCGGTGACAACACCGACGTCTACAGATCTCCCTCCGACATCCAGGTATAGTTCTCATATCTTTTAAGTCATTTTTTCGAGCATGAAGTAAACACTGGACTGAGCATAGTTGGGATTGTATATTTTTTATCGCTTCCTATTCCCTCATGATCTCTCTTCTCTTCTCTTCTGTATCTAGAATGAATACATAGGAATTTTTTTAGTTTGGGATCACCATCGTCCAGTGATATCAGGTCTGTCAGATCCTCTCCTATATATTGATTTCTTATCTATATATACATGTTATATATATATATCTGTACATATGTAATAGATGATAATCTGTAAATGTTATATGATATTAAGGATTGTTTGAAAAAATTCCCAACTCAAAAAGAAACTATGTTGGCACACTGAGGTTACTTTAAGAGCTCCACTTTTCCATCCCTGTTTTGTGCATATTTCTATTTGGTGTTTATGTGTTAGAGAGATTGGATGGGGATGGAGTCAGAGAGGTGACAGGGGTTTTGATTGGGTTGGGGTTTTTTAGTTTTGATTTTTAGCAAATAGTGTGAAAAGTGATTACGTTGTGACATTCTCCAGCAATGGTTTTAGATACTAGTTTTTTTTTTTTTTTAAACGATATTGAAATTTTGTTCTCTCAGAAAAATGAAATGTCTTTATCTTCTTTTTTGTGAATATTATACATAGGATTTTTTTTCTGACTTTTGGTGCCATATGGGGAAAAAATAGCTTGCAAATAAACCAGTCCCTAATGCAACCTTACAAGTCACAGGTGTTGTTGGTTGGCATAGAGAGGGTCTTGTTTATAGAAAGAATGAGGTAATTTCATTTTTCTCTCCAATCTCCTTTCTAGATATTGTGGAAAGTGCCAATCTTCTTATGTCGTCAAAAGGTGTGAAAGGTTATATTTTGGGATTTTGGTTGATGTGCTCCTATTTTGGTCACTCATACATTTTTTGTAATTATAGGTAGTGTTTTGCGTTGTGATGTGACTGGGAAAATTCTGATGAAGTGCTTTCTTTCTGGAATGCTTGATTTGAAGTTGGGTTTAAATGACAAAATTGGCCTTGAGAAAGAGTTGCAAATTAAATCATGTCCTACTAAGAGGTAACTTCTGAAGGCATCCTTTTTGCGTACTGCCCTCTCATTTTCATTTGTCTGTACACTTATTTTGGAATTTAAGCAAACTCATGCTTCTTTCTTGTCATCCTTTAATATGTCATTTTATTTCTGAGTTTTATTATAAATGATTTTGGTTCGAGTTCCTTATTTAGGTATGTTGTGAATCCATGTTCCCAAAGTTGTTCCCACATATTCTTTGCATGCTTTCTTAAATGTATTAAGGGATATATTTCATAATTTACAGATGTTCGAAGTAAAATTAAATTGCCAATTGGGTTTGTTAATAATATATATATATATATATATATATTTTTTTTTAATTTGTTTTGAGAAACTGTCTTCTATCACCTCCTAGGAAAGAATGGTTTTGAACTTTTTAGTTCATATGTTGGATGATAATGCTTTAATTATTTTTAATTTTTTTTGAATTTGCAGTTTTATAGAAACCCAGAAATTGATTCTTTTATTGTAGCTATTTCGGTGTTGTATTGAGCATTGCATCTTGTTTGCCCCTGTTGATTAAGTGGTTGGCTAAGCATGCAATTTTAATTTGTGTCTCTGCTAGATGGATTCCTTATGCCTTTTCTATAACGTAATCTTTGTCCATGTTACCTTGTGCAGTGGGAAAACTATAGAGCTCGATGATGTTACTTTCCATCTTAACTCAGAAAAGACTATTAGTTTTGTGCCACCAGATAGTGAATTCGAATTGATGAAGTGAGCTTATAGTCTCCTTTTCAACTATGAACTATTTTGGTTATTATTATTTAATTTAATGTATTGTAAAAATAAAAATACAGAACCTGTGTGACCTTGGGTAGAACCTAGGCCACCCATGAACAAGACGTAAATTTTGTAAGTGGATTTGGATTTTCAATAGTCGACGTTGTGTTGAACTTCATTTACTTTTACTCTCATATACACACATCAAAAGAAGGAAATAAAGCTAATGTGTTTCTTGTCTGTAGAATTGTTTTTTGAAGTGTATTCAAATCTCTTTATACAATATTTGGTGTATTTTTTTTCTCTTTAAAATTGTGATATGTTTTTTCTTCTATTGGTGTAATTAGGTGAGCTTTTTGGTATTGGAAAGATTGTTTTTGTTCTTTTGAGGTAAGAAACGTCTTCTGTTCATTTCTTATACGTTAGTTCCTTTTATTTTTTCTAGATATATATTTTTCCCTTTTCTTACAAAAATTATATTTTGTTTTTCTTCCTTTCCTTGTCCTTGATAGGGTTGTTTGATTGTATGCCTTTGACTGAAGTCACAACATGTATTTGTTGTTGTTGTTGTCTTTTTTTGTTTTTGTTTCCCGAAGTATTTATTGTAGAGTTCCGCTAATTTTAGAACCAAATTAGAAACTAATAGAACTCAAGCCATAGTTAAAATATGGCACCCAATCCTTAGTTTCAATAATTATTTACACTGGAGACTTAGTTTCAATAAAAAAAAAATTCCTTTGTAAATCCATTAGATTCTTATAAAATTGTGATTTTTGAAATGGGTTTGATGGGTTTGATGGGTTTTGATTTTTGAAATTTGAAATGGGTTTGAATCTTTAATTTGTTCCTCACTCCTCTTTCTTTGTTGATTTCGTTGTTTTTACCACTTACCAAACATAAATTTCCGACTCTAGAGCAGGAACTGAACTACTTGACATGATTCTCACCAAGATAATCTCTTTTTCCTTCTCTTTCTGCTCTATTTTGTTACCCAAAAAAGGTGCAAAATAAAAACATTTGATTTTTGGTATTATGGTTTTTAATTCTTGAAACTTTAAAAAATGAAAACCTCTTTTAGGTTTAGGGGAGAAAACCCACCAAAGAAAGACGAGTTTCTGTTATTTTGAAATGATACTCTTATGACCCTAATTGTTCTTTTCATTTTGTGAAGCAGTTTCTTCAATTATTGCATTACATTGGAGTTTCTGTTATGTTTACTTCTTTTGCTTCTGCTACAAATGTCTTTGGTTTTGTATCCACTCGTGTTTGCATTTTATTGGACAGTTCTGTATCACCTACAATGTTCTTGTCTTATAATTTCTGTCTTACAAAGCTTTTAATTGACTTTTTTTTTTAGCTTTACACCAAACACATAAGCAGTAGATAATTTCATTATTCAAAGCCACCTGCATGCTTGTGTTCCTACGGCCTTTTTTGCTTAAGGCCATTTAAATGTGTTGCTATATGGAAATAATGTTCCTTTTTTTTTTTTTTTTTTTTGGGCAAGTAAATAGCAATGTCCGTTTTGTGAATAGGCAATCATAGCTTCGATGGCTAACACCTGATAGCGTGGTTTTGGGCCTGATTTTAACTAATGTAGTTGTTTTTATGTTATGGCGGATTGCAGATCAACAATTTATGTTGAAGAACTTTACAGTGAGTTGTATAAAATGTTGTTAGTTTTTCTCATTCATACTATCATACAAAATCTTTTTAAGCTTGTAATGTATTCATGTTTTTTTCATAATATATTGTTGTTCTCTAAGCAGATTTCACTAGAGAATTTTAAAAGCAGACGCATTCACACGATGATAACATCTACATTCAGTCATATCGATATTGGGCACCTTGTCTCTAACATGATTGGATTTTACTTCTTTGGGGTGAATGTATGCATACATGCCTCTTAATTTTCTTTTTGTTCAAATTATTAAAAAAAAAAGAAAAAAAAGAAGGAAAAAAAAAGAAAAGAACATTTACTTACCAGTGTTCATGATTATAATTTGATTTCACTTGGAAAATTAGTAGTAGATTTTGCATAGGAGGGGAAGGGGATTGAGTTTTTCATCATTTCATCTAATCTAGGAACCTGGTATGTGTGCACTCATGTGCCTTCCTGTTTCATCATGATTAAATGAATTAAAAATTGCATTACCTGTGATACTAGTCTTGGTGGTCAATATGGTATTTGGTATGTGTTGGTTTACAACTACAAAATTAAGATTGTCCTTGTTGAATAAGCAAATGTGGATTTACATACGTTGATGGAGTTGTTCTCAATCATTTTTTTGTTCTTGTTGGTAATCAGAGTCCATGAGGAGTTTTTTTTCTCACAGGAGAAGTGATAATGGAACAGGGAAATGTGATAGATCAATTTTATATTGTTTGTCAAGGTATGCTGGTGTGATACTATCTTGTGTTGACTTTTGTTTATTAATATTTATTTGATTATTGTGAGTTAGTGTCTTTTTATTCCTTCTTTATCTTCTTTTTCTATTTCTTTTAGATATATACTTTTCAGTTCCTTATTCTTATGTATGGTATATTAATTTATTTTTTGATTTACGGTTGCATGCCCTGATGTCACCATAAATTAGTTGTTTATTTAAACAAAAATACATAGACACAACTCTATTTAATTTTTCTTCAGTCTAGTTGCCTTCAAAATATAGTCCTGTTATTGGTGGACATCAGTACTATTCATCAGCCCCTGTGGTTTGGAGTGTGAGGTTAATCCTGATTAATCTAAATCATAACACTCCCAAAATGAAACATTTAACTACTACTTAACACCAATTGGGTCTTTGCTCACCTTTCTTCTCTTTCTCATTACACTTACTTGAAGAACAAACATTAAAAAAGGGGCTCAAGGATCTTCATGGTTGAAAATTTTTGTTTATTGTAGACAGGGTTGTGAAATAAATGCCTATCTTGAACCCACCTGCTTGCCATTGCCATTTACATTTCTAGAAACATAACCATTATGTTGAATTAGAGTATTTATAAGTAGTTCCCTAGGAAAGTCGTTACTAGTTTATCCCATTTTAATATTGATAAAAGACTATTTATGTACAATAGGAGGTCAATATGAGGTCAGATGGATCAGAAGAGATTGTTTCTAATTTGGAACCTAACAATTTATTTGGTGAAATTTCTATTCTTTGCAACATACCTCAGCCTTATACTGTTCGAGTTTGCAAGCTAAGTATGATTCTGCTCCTTGATAAACAACCATTCTCAAATATCCTTGACATATATTTTCATGATGGGCGAAGAATCTTGATCAACCTTCTAGAGGTAATTCAGTTGTGCTAAAATGTGATTGCCTCTCTTATGTTGTTTCTTGCACTTCTTTTTCTCCTATGGCATCAATACCTACAAATGCATATTCATTTGTTTTGCATAAACTTTATCGAATTAATTAATTTGTATGAATTAAATGCCTAAAATAGTATAAGTTGACAGGGAAAAAAATCAAATGTTTGTGTGAAGCAATAGAATCTGATATCACATATCATATTGGAAAGCAAGAAGCTAAACTTGCTTTAAGAGTTAATAGTGCAGCTTATCATGGAGATCTGTATCAACTCAAAAGTTTGATCCAAACTGAAGCTGATCCTAAGAAGACAGATTATGATGGAAGATCACCATTGGTATGATTTTAGCTTTTCACTATGTTAACAGGCTACTTTTCAGTGGTTTTACTTTGTTGCTTCTTGATTCTTCGATCTAATGCTTATTTTACGAAAAAAAAAAGAAGGTATTATATTATTGGGAATACGACTTAGTTTTTCTTTGATTTCTTGTCTTTCTGAATTTAAGTAATTCATGGAGTTAATTTTAAGATATCCTGCTTGTAGTTTCTTTTGTCATGCAGACAAGAAATGCAACAGGGTTAGTTGCTCTAGCTATTGCCATGGGTTTAGGTGCCTTTACACATACATTGGGCACCCTCGTCCCTGTGATAAGAGCAAGTGGATTTGCTACAGTTGCAGCTGCAACTACTATAGGAACTGTTGTCGGTAATTTTAGATAATCTCTTAATAGTTCTTGATATGTTTAGAAAGTTAGATATGCATAGTTTTGGATGGTTTAAACTTTTTGTACAGTTGATAACTTAAGGATATAGTTTTCGAATTTTTGAAATGTATAGACAATTGTTGAACGTTTATAATTTATGGATAGTTTCTTTTTGATGTTTCAGACAATATTTTGGTGGTTGATTGATGTTTTGTGATGCTTGTTTGTAATATTTGTTAAATTGTACAAAATTGGTCAAATAGAACCTGTTGAGTTTAAAAATTGAAAAAAAAAACTGCATATTCTACGGCAGGCATAATAAGTCGTTGTATTACATATTTTATGGCGCGCAATCAGCATCGTTATTTGTTTCACCAATTAACGGCGTGCAAAAGTAGTTGTAGAAAAAGTAACAACGATGCACAAAATCTGCTGTTAAATAGTTTTTAACGGCGTATTATAACATGTCGTAGAAAAAATAACAACAACGCACAAAATATGCCGTTAATTAGTTTTTAACGGCGTACGAAGCATGTCATTGAAAATGAATGACTTTCCATAATTGGTTATAATATGAAGCGCGCTACACGTCGTAGAAAGTTTTTTACATTGTGCATTGCGCACCGTAAAAACCTTTTTTTGTTGTAGTGGTGATTTAGTAATTGTCCAATTTTTTGTTGTGTGGATGTTCTTTGTTTGTTTGGCATGTGGGAAAACCAGTGTATAATGATAGATGGTCCATTAATTCTGATGGATCTAAATCTGGGTTTTCTTTACAAAATTTATCTCTATAAAGTGGCGTGGTCTGTTATATTTTTTTTTTCTCATCTCTTTGATTCTAGGCAGCATTTGTATGCCGATTTTTGGGTATAAGTCCTCATTTTTTTTTTTTGCCATTCTGTATATATCCTGTGCATGGACTGAATTTTACATTTTTTCAAAATAAAACATTTATGTGTTAATGTTAAAACATCTAGAAAAGTATGTAAAAAAGGTTGGGTTACAAATGCTGGCGTACCTCTTTTTTTTACATTTTTTTCCTCATCTCTTTGATTCTGGGCAACATTTGTATGCCGCTTTTTGGGTATGAGTCCTCAATTTTTTTTCCCACATTCTGTGTATATGTCTTGTGTATGGATTGAATTTTAGAGTTTTGCAAGATAAAACATTTATATGTTTATAGACTGAAAAGCATGTGAAAAATTATCTGAATTTTGATGGGTTAGAAATGTTGAAGTACCTTTTTGTTTTGTTTTGGTGGTTGTTGTTGAAGTTGTCATTTTTTTTTTCTCTCGAGTTTTTCATTTTATCTTACATCTGCAACTGTTAGATTTGCTACTATTATAAATGTTTACACTTGATCTTGCATTTGGAAGTGGCTCAATAGATACTGATGGTTGTATTGTACAGCCCAAAGGTGCCCAACTTCCACTTTACCCTGTTGATCCACATAGTGGTGGGCAACGGTTTAGCCGATCCGCAAAAACTGCCCAACTCGCCCAATCCGCATACAAATGGGCCGTTTCGCAAATACAATGCGGGTGGATGCGGTTTGAAATATGGCATCTTTGCGGGTTGTGGGCAGGTTGCGGGTTTAACCCGTACCTGTAAGAAACTGCCCGCACTTTATTTATTTATTTATTTTTGTCGTAACTATTGATTTCATTTCTATATCCCACCTAAATATTTTTGTCCAAAACAAAACACCCTTTATTTTTTGAACTTACTCTAGCATTACATTTGCTAATAGTATTATATCAACTGAAATTGAATAAATACTAACCATATTATTATTGTTACATAACTGAACTTGTCATGGATGAAGTGTGATTTGGAATTTTAAATTCTTTAATGAATATGGAGTTATAGTTTAGGATTTTGAAATATATGCTTGTGTTAGTTTATAATTTGATTGAAGATTTTGAATAATTTGTTTGTGTTACGAATTGATTTTGTTGTATTTTTAATTTTATAAGTTTTAATTCATTAATTATTAATGTTGGAGCATTTTAGAAAATGGGATGAAAAGGGCCCAAAATAAATATTTACAAAATGAGAAAAAAATAAGACTCAAAAATAAATTTTGGAAGAAAAAAGTCCAATCCGCAAACCACCCACACATCCGCAAACCCTATCCGCACAAACCACAAACCGCACTACGGGCGGTTGCGGGTTGTCTTTTTTCCAAACCGCATAGATGCGGGCAGGTCCAAACCGATCCGCAAATCGTCCAAATCCAAACCGCGAACACCCCTAGATCCACAATTCCATTGTTGGTAATACACACATACACAGAGCTAGTATGAAATTGAAATTAAAGAGGTGGAATTGGAGGGAAGAAACTGTACAAGCACCAATTGGGGATTGGTGCAGGGCATTTGCTAGATGATCAGAGCTTCTGAGTAGGATAATTGGGAATCGATTGGTGGCTATTTTTTTCTTTTGTATAACCCCATTTTTTATTAACAAATGGGGACATTTCTCATTTTATACAATTCCTGTACTCTAAATGATGTGGCATCTACATGTTAACTTATTTGTTGTAATTTAGTCTTTTACATGGTCATAAAACAAACCGTGGCTTCTTTTACCTCTACTGTAACTTCCACTACATGGTCACGTCGAATGTGTGCCTGTGGCTTTGGAAATTAGATGGAATACATGGCCACCTCTACCGTAACTTCCACTAAATGATGTTTGTGTGTGTTTTTTTATGATGGAATACATATATGTGTCTAGTTTTTATTATGAAAATTAGATTCGAAACAACAGGTTGTCGTGTCATGCTTTTTTATTTATTTATTTATTTTGATAGCTTTTTGTACCGTTTGTTTTGTTGTGTTAGTAATGTAATTGAATATTTCTTGGTTTGTATATTACCAAGTACCAGCAGGTTCAGTTTATTTTTATTATGACTTGATAGATTATTACATGCAATTGTATTTGTTTGTTAGATATGTTCAACATGGTCACGCAAAATAAAATTTTTAAAGGTCGAACAATGTATTTTGGAACTGTTATTACATTAGCCCAGTCCATCACATGTAAACTGATTTCAACTGTTCATAATGTTGTAGGTGTCACTGAAATCAACGTGATGAACACCGGGGATGGAAGCAACAATGATAGTGTAATGGAAATGCTTAACCAAATGGCCATACAGCTTCAACAACAAAATAACTGGACATTCCTTCAAGCATGCCAATATGTCTAAGAGTGGTACGAAAACACATGTGTAAGACGCCATGTCACACTTCTATTTTGACCGGACATGTAATAACCCCGATCCGTAAGTAACTGATTAAGCGTGATGAAGAGCCTAACAAGTAATTAAGAGGAAATTCTGAGTTAATTACATGTGGATTGTGTTATTTGTGTTTATATTTGTCTATTGTAGAAATATATGTCTGTGTTTCTGTTTCATTGTGCGAATTACTTATCGGAATCTGATCACGAAATTGACTTGGTTTATGTGTTATTTAGGATTTTTAGAATTTTATAGTAGGTTTAATTGAAATTCGATTTGGAGCAAAGTAATTAGAATAAAATAATGTTAGTTGATTAGACCTAAACTAATTTTAATTAGTCTCTTAATTAGCCTATATAAGGCTTATACAACACCTTAGAGAGATATCATCTTCATCATTTGAGTATCCAGAACATAAGAGAGAAGGAGATCAAGTGTTGAGCTTGGAAACCAAAGAAGAGGAACGAGATTTGTAGAGAATTCAAGGTTTTGGACTTGGAGACTCAAACAATTAACCAACTAGAGCTCAAATGAGAAGCTAAAGTAAGAACTCAACTCTTTAGTTATATAATTGAGTGTGTTAATGCTAGGATTCAAGTGGATTAAGAGTTGAATCACAAGAATTAAGCTAAGATTGAAGAATTAAAACTCAAGCCATGCATTCATACATATTTCATGGTGTTTTAAAGTTGTTTTCCGAAGAATTTCCTCTTGCATGTCCTCATTTTGGATTTGTTCTAAGATTCAACATGTTTTTGAGTTAAACACCTCATCTGATCATGTTTTGAAAGCTTTGAAGCCAAGACAATTCATGCATGTTATCTTCATGTTATGTTCTTTAAGTTCCAAGTTTGATTTTGCACAATTGGCATGCTTTTGGGCTGTTTAACAAGTTTACATATATTTTCTCAAGTTTTGGGCCCAAAATGATGTGTTTTGAAGTCTTGAAGTTGAGTTTAAACTTAGAACTGCAATCTGGAAATTCCAAAATTTGCACCTTCCGCTCCAGTGGTGAAGTCTGCGCTTGAGCAGAGAATGCGAACTCCTAGTACTTTTGCAGAGTTTGAGGATTGGCTTGAGTGGCAGAACCTGCGCTCGAGCTACCACCCTTATTTTTGACCTTCCACTCAAGCGACCGAAGTTGCACTCAAGCGTAAAATGAGAGCTCCTAAAAGTTTTACAGAATTTTGCAGACTGTTTGAGCGTAGGAAGTTGTGCTCGAATGGAGACCCTGTTTACTTAGTCTTTGGCTCAAGTGACCATTGAGCACCTGTTGAGCGGGATAATCAAGCAACCAATATTTTTGTAGACTTTGCAGACTGCTCAAGTGACAGATGTTGCGCTCGAGCGAACTATCATGTTTTTGAAAATTTGGCTAAGTGTTTCAAAGCACATTTTAGCATCCTCATTGCATCCTAAGCATTCCTAAGCCCTAATTAAGACATAATAATGAGGATAAGACTTAGAAACACACTAGGAACGAAACGTAATGAGTTAAGTATTTTTCGAGCGTGTGTTTCAGTGTGTATCTAGTATCTGTTTGTGTAGGTTACGCGTCGTAAGCTATTCAATCTATCAACTCTGTCTGTCTGCCTTTGGAGCCAACTGTGAATAATAACTTAGTAAAACTATGTTCAACTTTATTTATTTTCTGTATGATGAAATAAGATCTATTTTCTAAAATGATATGTTCTGTACAATGAATGATTGTCCAATTTCTGGCAAGTATTCGTGGCATCCTTAGCATATCTGTTAGCTGTTATTCGGTATCAGAGGTTCCATCATAGAACTTAGTAGATCTGTTATTTGTTACTCGTACCGGAGGCTTCATCATGGAGCTCAGCATATTTGTTATTTGTTACCCGAATCTGGAGGTTCTTTTATGGAACTGGTTAATCATAACCACCATCTGTTCTGTTAGAACTAATGGATGTACCATGTATGAACTCTGATTTCTGAATATGAATTGAACAAGAATATGAATATGAATCTGCTTCTACTTCTGTTTCTGAAATAAAAATGAATTTGTTTTCTGAATCTGATATGGGATATCATTCATTTAAACCCCTTTACTCTATTATTATTCACTGGGCTCCCGCTCACTCTACTATCTATGTATGTAGGTGATCAGGTGCATGACCAAGCTCAGTAATAGTAGCCTGAAGATCTGTTTTGTGTCGGCCAACCACTGTGTCTCCTTAGGAGGTTTCCGAGAAGTTTGGTAGTCGAGTTTGTGAATCATGTATAAGTTTTCTACTTTCTTTGATTGGTTTGAACAAGATTTTGTATAACCATTCCTCGGACTAAGTCACAGTTTGACTATGTGTACATGTGATGGTGATGCAAAACTTTGTTACTATGACATCATGTATGTGTGTAAATAAAGTTTTAAATTCCTGTCCCATGTATGTCTACACAGCTCAAAACTTTGTTATTATGTGTTAATCTGTTTAGAGGCCTTTGGTAATCTAAGGATTGTTGGCCGGTTATGACGCTAAACCTATAGGGGCGGGTTTAGGTCATGACAGGGCATGCATGGATAACTGAACTATATGCAGGTCATGTCGGTCGATTTGAGGAAAATGTGTGCATGTCGAAAGAAGTGTTTGCGTCTTTGTGTCACACGTTAGTAAATAATTTCGGGTTACAAGTACTGCAACGTGAACATGGCTTAGTTGTTCGAGAAAGCTTTGTAATGTTTGTCTACGTGTTGAGAGAGTTTCATAACTGCGATATCCAAGAACGATTCCAACATTTGGAGAAGACTGTGTCTCGACACGTGCTTAATGTTTTAACGGTGATAAAGAGTTCACTGTTGCACATTATAAGCCAACATATAGTCAGCATCATATACATCCATACGTGTGGGCTAAACAAAAATACCTACCTTTGAAGGTGCTATTTTCAAACCTCACTCAGTTAAGTTTATTTCAATGTTTAGAAAGAATTTTGACGTGACGTGTGAAAAACATCGCGCTTTTGGTGTCATTAACATTCGAACAAAAACCATTTCTTGTACCCCTAGAACTAATAAGATAATTGGGTTGTTGGCATGACTGTATCGGAGTCATTGATGGAACACATGTTACTGTGCGGGTTACGGGGCCAAATGCTCCAACATATTTGGTAGGAAATGCTGTCACACTCAAAATATCATGGCGGCGTGTGATTTTTATATATGTTTCACCTTCGTATCGCTTGAATGGGAAAGAAGTATGCACAATAGTCGCATTTTCAATGAGATAATAACAAATGACAATGTCCCTTTTCCACATTCTGAAGAAGGTATCATATTGCATTTCCAAATTTTCGGTACATAATATGTGAGAAAAAAAAATACTAAATTTGATTTGTAATTTGAATTTCTTGTATTTTTGTAGGCAAATAGTATCTTGTCGATGGTGGCTATCCGAACCACATAGGTTACCTAGCACCATTCAAAGGCAGCCGTTACCACCAACAACAATTCCGCATGACTGAAAGACATAGGACAACAAACACCCCCAGGGAATTATTTAAAAAAGTTCACGCATCGTTACGAAATGTGGTGGAACGCATTTTTAGAGTATGGAAAAATCGATGGGGGTTTATTCAAAATATGTCTCAGTATGATTTTGCAAATGTGCAAGTTCAATTGGTTGGTGTGTCAATGGCGTTACATAACTATATACGTAGAAATACATGCAATCCAACAACTGTTAACCCTATTTTCAACGAAGAAGAGGCTATGGCAATAGTAACTGCCATACCGGAAGTTGTACATGACGAGGATGGTTTAATGGTTAGAGATGAGGACTTGCATATGGCATTGGTGCGATTTCGCATACGGGACATGTTAGTGTACATGCGTAATAATGAAATGTTAGGAAACATATAATAGTCAACTGACTATTCGTATGCTTGTAACATTGTTCAGCCATGGTGGAGATGTATGTGACTGTATTATCTTGTACAATATGCATGTGTTTACACGAAAAAATAAAATTTCAACGGTTTACGTGCTTTATTTTTAAAATTATTGTGTTGGAGAAAGAGAAATTTTGTTACGTACTTGCAATAATTGAGCAAGGTAGCACGATGGCAAACCGCGGTATTATGATTTGATGACTGTGATAGAAAAATTAGAAATTTTAAAAATTTAAAATGGGCACATAATATGTGGCCGCCAACTCAATTTTGGATAAAAGGTAGGAGTATGATTTACCCAATTTTTGTTTAACAAATTGGATAAAAGGAGAGAAAAAGTAATTTTGTAATTTTTTAAAATGTTCCAACAAACGGTTACAATCGTTGACATAAAATTTTTGACAAGTTTGCCTTATTTTTAAAAAAAACAAAACGCCAAAATTCTAATTTTTCTTGAAATTATTAAAAAAAAACAAAAAAATAATAATTACTTGTAAAAAAAAAAAGAAAAAAAATCCAAAATAATCGGCTGATGTGTCAGCTGCGCAACCCACACGCCCAGGTAAATCAACAAGAAAGGGGAACACCTTCACCCCAAAGGGATAATTTCACATATGGGCAACTCACCAAAAAGTCAAAAAGCCAAAAAAATAAAAAAAACCTATCCCAAATCAGGCTTTTTAGTCACAAGCTAAAAAAGTCAAGTCAAAAAGTTAACCTACATTCCAAACAAACCCTTAGAGTACCCCAACCTGCAAAATGGAAGGTAAAATACAAATATACTCTCCTAATATTTGCTTAAAATATGAATTATCCTATGTGGTTTTAGAAATTACAAATACCCGCTTTTTAGAATTTTTCACTTAAAAAAATTAATAGAAAAAAAAATTTAACTACTCTTCTATACAATAATAAAATTATCTAAATTGTTAATTGAAATATATTTCTACCATCAATAAAACTGTCAATTGACTTGATATTTATTAATAAAATAAGTCATTTGTTATGTGATTAAAAACTTGGAGGGGTGTAAAGTGATTTTCAAAATTATAAAAGACAATTCATATTTTAAACAAACCTATGTTGTGTTTGGTTGGGAGATTTAGGAAAAGATTTGGAAAGGGAAAAGGGAAAGAGAAAAAGTAGGTAAAATGTGAATAAAAAATTTTACACATCTTTTTTCTTTCCATTTTTAAATCTCTTTCCAAATTTCTCGATCAAACACGGCATAAGAGGTATATTTGTAATTTATCCAAAACAGAAGATGACCAACATCGATTCAGCAAAGTCCACTTTATTATTGGGCCTGTCATTAAGCCCATTTGCACTCTCTGCCTTGCATGGTTTGGGCTAACTCAGGTTTCAGCAATCCGTATCTATATCGGCCCAATTAGCAATCCATCTGAAACCATGCCTCTAAGGAAACGGGCACGTGGGCTTTCTTTCTCTACTTTATGGTATGGGAATGCACTAACTTCTTTTGGTATTCTTTTCCCATGGAAATAGTCATGGGCTTTTGTCTAAACATCTCGGGTGATTCTATTTACAACCAAAAAGTAATTTAGTATGCTTAATTAAAATTTTAAAAATTTAGTTCTTATTATATTTTAATGTATATTTACTAATAAGGATAAGACACATTAAATCATAAAATAAAATATTATTTTTTTCTCATGATACACTCTAATGCTTTTTAGTTGGAAAAGATGACAATCCAATAAATAAATAAATAAAAGAAATTGCGTTTCTAGTGGAATAAATTAAAATTATATAATTTTTTCTATAAAAAATGCAAATGGGTTTGTATCCGGTGAGAATGAAAATTGCGTCAAATTGCCAAAATGTAATTTTCCAAATTAAAAGAGTATATGTGTGTTTGCAAGCTTATGAGAAATGTTATATCACTATAAAATTTATATCAAATTTACTTTTAGAATAACATAATAATGATCATAATAATGAATTTTATGTTTTAAAATAAAGAATCACAATTTTTTTTTTTATATATATTGTTTGTATGGTACTAATTGTTTAGATATGAAAGACGATGAATTTGTGTTAGGGCTAGTTTGGCATGTACTAAATAAGTCAAAAAGTCAAAAAGTCACTATCTTATTTAAGTCACATCATCTTATTTAAATCACATCACCTCTCTAACACATCACATCAAACCCAACCCAAACCCAATCCAAACCCACCAATAAATCAAAAAGTACACTTTTTTAGGGCATCTCAAATCAACCCTTAATCTTCTTTCATAAGTTTCAATCATTTTCTCTTTATCTTTTCCCTCACTCCAAAATTCCAATTACATTACCAAAACTCACTATTATCATCAATATTATTATTTGTTAGTGTTGTTACTTACAAATATAAGAAAGTTTAAACAACTCAAATCATAAATACTGTACAAAATATTAAAATTCATAACTTCAAATACAAAATCTACTTTAGCTTCGTTCAATAGATACTTGAATATATATGCAGTGTGCGAGTATGTGTACACTGAAAGGTATTGTGAATTTGAATCAGAAATTGATAATAAAAAAAAAAAAACAAATAAATAAATAAAACGAACTTCCCATAAAGCAAATGAGTTTCAGAAGGTACCTATAGTGATGAATTAGGGTCGTACTAATTAGTCAATTGAAATGATTTTTCAAAATAGTGTAATTTTGGGTTTTGATTTATTTATTATTTAGGTATATTATAAATTATGATTTTATTTTGAAGGGTAATTTGTGAAAAAATATAAAGTGTATTAAGAATAAATTATAACTCTAAATAATTATTAGACAATACTGAGAAATTAGCCGTACTGAATAATATTTTAGATGCAAATTGAATCCTCAAACATCTCTGTATCAATCAAATAACAGTTGCATTCAAAACTGTTGGTTTGGAGCAATTTATATAAGCTATTTATAATTTATTTTATTTTAAGAGTATCATACTATTTAGTGTAATTTTTACTTTCTTGCATCTTATTAGATATAAATAATTTAAATAAATTCAAATAATAATTGGTTCTCTTAGGAAGAGGAATACTTTTGACTTATATTTTTGAGAAATTTTACTATACGCATCCTTTGAAAGGAGTGTACCATATGCATCCATAGTTATGTCATTTTTTTCCCTTTAATTATGACTAATTTCTTTTTTAGTTATCATAATATTTTAGTT